GAACTACGAGCTGATTGTCAAAGGACTCAAAAGTTGCGCCGAGTTCGCTTTAATTACTCCAACAATACCGCATTTATACCGCATCTCCACTACCACTAAGGAGATGCTGGAAAAGAGAAGAAAACTGAGGCTTGATCCTGATGTAACACACTTAGTTCGAGTGATAAGAAACTTTTGCTGCAGAAGAGCTCTGCAGGGGGATATTCACAGGCACAGGCAGAAGAAACTGTTGAGAGCAGCACAAAAAAGATTTAGCCTAAAGAAATACCGTCGGAACTCGTGCAGAAATAGTGTTCCGCTAGCAGCCCTGATGAATAAAGATGGGAATGCTATAACATACCTCCATGACATGGTAACGGAAAAATTACGCCAACCTATAGCGTTCCACAATCCCCATCTCGGATCATGAAATCCACACTGGACAAAAATTATCGAGGATTTTACTCTCTGAAGTACGTGCGGCGATAGAAGGCATGAAGAATGGCGCAGCTCTGGGCTTGATAACATCATCGCCGACTTTTTTAGAGCTGGAGGCCATAATCTACATGTATTATTCGCTACACATATGACCTTCCGCCTTCAGAAAAAGGATTCCAGACCAGTGGAAGACGTCGCACACAGTCATCCTCCATGAAAAGGGTGACTGAAGGGATCTTCGTAAAAATTGCCCAGTTGGCTTGCTGAGTGTGCTTTACAAGCTCTCTTAGAATATTATACTTCTGTGCATATCAACAACTTTGGATGAGGCTCAGCCAGTTGAACTAGCAGGACTATGTGAAGAATTCTGCTGCATGGACCACATCCAAACCGTATCACGGTTCATTGAAGTCTGTCGGGAATACCATTTGTCCCTAATCCTAACATTTGTCGACTGTGAAAAAGCGTGTTATAGCGTCGAAACGAATGCAATACTGTCACTGATCGTCGATCAAGGAGTGAATCCGTCCTACATATGAACTTTGCCAGACTGCTATCGAAACCGCACCACGAAAATACTGCACTTTAAGCGACCTCTGACCATTCCTATTGGTGAAGGAGTTCGACAGGGCGATGCGATATTGCCAAAACTGTTCACCACAGCGCTACAGAGCATAATGAAGTCACTCGATTGGGACGAGAAGGGTGTCCGTGTCGATGGGAAGTTCCTGTCACATCTCCGCGGCTTACGTACATTTCAGCACTCTCGTCATCTCATCAAATAACGCGCTTCACCTGGCACATCTGGTGAGTACGGAACAAAGAATCATGTTAGGACCAGAAACGTGGAATGTTGCCTGGACCATTTTTCAGTTAATGCCTTGAAGCTGTCGTTAATTATAAATACTATCTTTCGATTGGCTATTTTTGAGGCAATAAATAATATCGACGTGGTTCGCCGCTCCCTCCTGTTACTCAAGCTTGACTGGTGGAGCGTGTGGCTCTGATAAGGCGGACGATTAACATACTAAACATCGAAAAGGCTTTAAGAAGTTTCTAAAATTATATGTCATGTCAGTTCTCGTTGAGAGAGTGTACTACGCAGTATCAAAGGCACCGTTCAGTAGTGCGAACAAGACCACTGGCTTGACAATACACCAGACTAACCAGCTCGCCTTTCCAGTCGGTCAAAAATCGTTTTGTGAAGAAGCTAAAATATTCAATAACCTAGGATTTGATGGAAAATCGATTTGACATGCATAGAACTACCTTTATTAACCAGTTGGAAACGGCAACAGAAATAGTAGCGAGCAGCCCTAATCGCAAAGTGGCGCGCAATTTTAGTTACATAAGGAGATTTCCTTTCTCGTTTTTGAAAAATTCTTTGTGTCCTTTGATTACTTGGGCAGACTGCGGTTTACTTCACAAACTAATTTTAGAGCATCTGCAGCTTTTATGAGTGAAGCAAGGCGCTGAATGCCTAGGCAATCATAGGTTTTTGGCGCTCATTCATCAGTAATAAGTTCTACAAAGGAAATTCCGACATAGATCTCTAAGATTCAAATAATCGTCCTTGCTTGCATCGCTCGAAAGCCGTCACAGCTACTGTAAATCAAAAACCATGGGTATTTGGTAAAAAAGGATAATGCATGTTGATTGCGACATCAGTTTAACGATAACACTCAATAAATTGAATTATTAGTGTATCTTAGATGTTGGGATCTAGGTAGGATTATAGAAAAGAATCTCTTCTAGCGTTCTGCGAATTTCCGCTTTTTCATAAATTCATAAACTCTTACTATAAACATTATTCGTCTCGTCAGCCTTTGCCACTTACATGCCACTACATACAACTACGTGTCCCAGTTTATTGGATTCTTTCTGATTGGGAGGGAACAGATGAAAAGACAATTCCAATCTTTGGAGACAAAATTTTCACACGGGTGTTAGTAACCATTCTAATGTTGAGACTTGAGGCTATAGCGCCACGTAGATGGTTTTTCAAAAACACTCTTTCATAACCCTGTAACCTTCAAAATAACATCAAGTTTCATAAAACGACATGTTTTTTTGCTTGTCTCGCTTATATTTCAGCGGACAAAACACTTTCCTCAGAGTGCTAGTACTCAAAATTATGGCATAAGTTTCAAAGAACTTGAAAAGGGGCTTGCTTCTCAAAAAGCTCTTTTAATCCACTTTGGTCTTTTAGTTCAAGCCTTGAACCCTCCGGATAATGCTTTCTTCAAACTATCCGTAATCATCTGATAGCGTGGTGTTTTCTGATTCTAGCGATGTGCTTAATGGTTTAGTAGGGTAAATAAGATAGAGTTTTTTGTTTTCGGTAGGTTATTTACTGGCTACTCAACAAAGCGACGGCGGTAGCAGAGGCGGGCGTGGTGGGACAATCGAAATATTGATCCATGGCATCGACTGTTTTTAAAACCTCGCAATAAACATTCAGTATAAATCTCAGGAATATTTGAAGCCTTACCAGAGGTTGGTATGTCAGAGACATATACCCGTATTTCGAGGTCTCGCCCTCCTCGTCAGAGGACCCCCACACCCTTCATTAAGCCCTGCGCTGTAATAAGGGAGGAGGCGAACGTGGTGACGACACAAGGCACAATGACATTGTGCCATCACCAACTTTCAGCCGATGGATCTTGGCTAGTAGAAGGCTTTAGGCATTCTGAAAATTAATGCTTATTGCGAGGTTTTAAAAACAGTCACTGCCATGGACCAACTTTGTACTACCAGCCACGATCTATCGACTGAAAAGTGGTAAAGGCACAGTGTCATTGTACATTGTGCCGTCCTTACATTCGCCTCCCCCCTTGCTACAGTGCAGGGCCTAATGAGTGGCGTGGGCCACATACGAGGAGGGCGGGACTTCCAAAACACGCATGCGTGCTTTGGCATACCAACCTCGGATAAGGCTTCAAACATTCTCAAAAATCGAATCGAATTATTGTAATGCGACCAAGAATTTTTTCCGTGCTTTCAAGAAAACTCTAAATAAGACGTATTCATTGAGATGCTACAAAAATTTCTCTACACATTGATGTGCTTTTCGTCATCCAGTGAACTTTACACGTGAAAATAACGAAAGCGAAAGCGAGTGAGGAACATAATTTTTGATCTGGATGATACAGCGTTATGTAAGGATGTTTTGACAAACCGGCGAAATGGGGCTGTAGCGTATTTGGCACATATTTCGGTGTTGATCGTATCAGGCCACGAATGCAGGCCGCCGAACCATATTATGGTTTCGGCTCTGGATCGATTTTCCGAAAACAGCAGAGAGCAAAAACTTGTGGTTGTGCAAAGGATTATAGTCTGATTCCATTTCTGCATTTTCTGCATCATCATACCACATGTAAGGAGTTGCGACCATGATTATTTCGTATTTTGTACGAAAAAATATTCATGAGAAAAATATCTGAAATTCTAATCTGCTTCAAGGATAGAAAACCAGAGACGCTTTATCCTGTAAACTATCAAAAAATAATCGAACCAAGCACCTAGTGTTTTCGACAACATCAGATGGGTAAGACCCGTCACCGACCGGGCTGGATTTCAAAAGCAGAGGAGGAAGGGCACCAACGCGTTGGTCGAAATTTCTCACAGCAACCCATGAAAGATATGATGCTTGTAGAATCTTCAAGAGGGGCACTCAATAGGCTACTCTCGCATGCAATATGAAGACGGGAATTAGCTCGAATCATCCAACAATCAGTAGGACGATATGTAAAACAGGTGATGTAGAATTTAGTCGGATTAGTTCGAACTCTAGCCAATCGCAATTTGATCTTTTCTTTTAAATTATAGTGGCGATGAAAACATCTCTCTTCACTCACTACAGACATGTGCAAATCTATTTGGTCGACTATTATCGCCAAATTTGTTGAGAAACCTCGTCTGAACTCCGCTCAAACTTTTCAGATATTCGAGTGTTTTGGGCATGATCTGAATTTTTATTAAGCATGTGAAGTTGTCCGCATCATATACTCTGGGCAAATCAATTTGACCTTTCCAGGCTCTGAAGATGGCGAACCTTGCCGAAACGTAAGCCACCACAACTGTTGTAATATTAGTGCTGCATTATTAACTGTATTGTTGAATGCTTCGCTGATATTCAATAAATAATATTAATAACACCTCGGAGCGGCCAAACAGAAGAACATACTGATTTATTCAAACTATGTCGAGGTTAATAGATAATCGGACCTGGGATTTAAGCGATCAATTTTTGATCAATAGATCATCATGATTTATTCAACAATCTGCAACTGATGATAATATTCATTACATAATATCTATCGTATAACGTAATATATTTGATGCACAAGCATTATACATGCATATGTATATAGTATTTGCATTAGGATATATATGCATATATATATATATATATATATATTGATGTGTTATAATCTCGCACATTTCTGTAACTCTGACGGAGCTACGAAGTTGCTACTCGTATCCAACAATTAGAAATTTCATAAGTATTTGTTGTATTTGTACTCCACTGTATTGTATTAGTTGGTCTTCCTAAAAAAAAATCGAGTGATGAGCAAAAACACGACCTCAGACGTGAGTCGAACCCGCTTTCATTCCATACTGGGGACGCGTGCTACCACTACACCACCGAGGCACATTTGCGCTACCACTCACCCTTCAGTGTCTCTATGATAGCTCTCAGCCACCAATCATAACAGCCAAAGTTTCCACTGAGTCAAAGGCTTTCTTCAGACTAAGTAATATTGAGATTTACTGGAGATAGCTTATTTAAACGGTGGATTCGAAAGTGATATGAGCTGTCATAATATATCAGTGACAAAAAAACCAATTTTTTCCGACCGCCAATCAGTGCAAAAGAAACCGAGAAATATACGATCACATTTACTGTTGATAATAACAAAAGAATCGTTACAGTGGACAGAGCGTATTCTCCCCTTATCAGAACAACGCACAACAACCTATGCACTTACGTACAAATTCAAAATAAGATCAAAACGACCTTTAGGACTTGGCGAATAAATTCGGACGCTATCTCAGAACTCAATTCAGCCACCAGAACCGTATAATAACAGCTGAATACGAGAGTCGCTTGTATCACTGTTCACAGTCATCAACATCTGTATAACAAACCTCTAATGAAAGCTTTGCTATCTCTTCTGAAAATACATGACAACTTAGGCAAAGTAATTAGACCATGACTCCAGAGATCAAATGGCAACGCAGAGGTTCGAGAATTTTGGAGAGGAAATAATACATCGATAATCCTTCGTCACAGCAAAGTGGCAATGGCGGCACCTAGTTGCCGTCAACCTCAACAGTCAATTCAATCGTCGGGCATTATACGAACGGTTGTTTGACTTCACCTCGCTGCAACTACGTTATCAATTCATTATTGCTCGCCTCACTAACAATATCGTTGTCGTGTATCTAAATGCTATCATTAGGTTCAATTCATATGGCTATCAAATGAGTAGCAACTCCTCAATAGAATTATAAGCGGAGCATATCATTTCCGTGGCTCAGCGAACTCACTAAGGCTATACTCGGCCTACCTCTACGGTTAAGGGATTAAGCCGCATATATGATCGATTGAGATCCAACGGTTATGATACAATATACCCACCTACTAAATCTCACCGTCGGGGCTTGTATTTCGAGGCGAACAGAACAGCCCAAACGAGCTCCGCTACTTAGTCATGCTTCTTCAATTATAGCTTTATATTATTGTCACAAGATGATACATCTCACTAATGGGTCACCCACATTCACGTAAGCACATCTTGACCAAACGATATGCCGTTGACCTAAACTTGGGTAATCAAGTCTTTAGCGTAACTTCCCACAATTTCAACGCTACGTTATTTTTTAAAAAGACTGTATCACTGCAGTTATCACAGAAGGTAAGACGAGCTCTACATACGCGGGATTTTTTTTCGGCTAGTGTGTGACTGGGTGTCTGTGAGCTGTAGCATCGATACGGCGTCCCACAATCGCTCGATCGAATGCGCTAAGGTGACTCACATGCAAAGTACAATTTACGTTATCGAATTTGGTAACTTTTATCCGTTGTGAAATAACTCCACGTAGAACGAATGATGATGATATTACAAGATTTCTTTTACACGCTCACCTGCATCTCGTGCTTCTGAAGAAGTAGTAATAAAAGCACTGAACCGTTGTAAAACATTATTTTATTTCAAATAGTACAGCGTGACATGGAGGTCTTTTCAAAAAGCGAGCACGTAGTGCACTAGCGAGAGATTTAAGCTTTCAAAGCATTTTCAATACTCTTATGGGAAGTTCTTGCCCTGCATAAGGGTCTGCTTTTGTTTGTCCCGGTTTAGCAGAAAAAACCTATAGACTGTGGAGACTTTTGTAGAGGAAATACATATACTTCACTGGGTATTAATAGAATAAGCTGAAGGAAAGTCTAAAATTATGTCATGAGCGCTTAGATTATTTATGGAAAGTGGGAAAATCATACATTATGTCGCACTAGTAAGGAGGATGCAGACGCCGCATAGCAGGGGAGAGCACGAACTGAAAGGCATTTAGACAGCACGATTATAAGCTCCTTTTGCTGTTTTCTAGGAACAAAAATGAATATTTCTGCTAGCTGCTAAATAGGGGAGCTTACGAAAAGGTTATTCTTAAGGACTTAGCACAAGAAATGTTCTACAACAGATTAAGAGAGTGAATTCATGAATTCATGAGTAATATAACACCTTCAACTTTCGGGTTATCGTAAGCGCAATATGGTGCAGCAAAAGCGATCGCTGCGTGACTGGTATCATTCTGTAAGAAAGACCTTAAGTTTAACTTTTCATTTTATGTAATATTTCAGCCTATTTTCGTGTGCATAGATATAGAAAAGGAAAATTTCAAAGCATTACGCACTGATCGACTCTCTGAATATACCCAAACATTTCATTCTATCGGAGCATGGAGAGGTAGGTTGAGATAACATATTTGAATTTTAAAATCACTTGCCAGAGTTTCATCGATGTGTAAAGTATAGAACTGTATCACTCCGAAAATTTTTCTGGTAATTTATCGACCCAGTTCAAGGCATGACAACGAAGCAACATTGGTGTGTACATTACACCCTATATCCCTAATGTCTAAGAAAATCTAGGTGAACTTTATGGGAAGATAAGCCACCAAATTAGCAGCGAACTAGCTTCAACAATCATGAGTTTGCTTGCACAGGTCCTTGCTAAAATTGTGTAAAAAAAGGCGTCGACAACCGAGGAAAATGATGCTTGCTCAGCTTCTACATTACTAGACAGCAAGGATTTTTGTATTTCACCGTCCCTTCAACGTCATTATGGTGTGATAGCAATATATTTAATATTGTTGAGTAATATGATAAGCAAACTTTGAACCTCAAACGGGAATTGAACTCTTTTTTCACGCTTCACGAGGGCGTATGCTAGTGCACTAACGCTATCATCACTCTTTGTATGACGCAAGGCATCAATTTGTCAGCAATCAAGCGCTAATGGTTTGGGCTAATATGCACATATTGGCCTTACACTCAGTTAACCTGGCAGAAATTGGTTATATGTAATATACTAGTCTGCTCAACTGATCGTTCAACGGTGATATGATGCTACAAATACATTCAGAAATCCACTGAATCAAACGTTGAGTCAAGGACATTTCTCAGTCAAGAAGCTTGAATGCCCCTCAACAGTACACAAATGAGATAGGTGGAATTGCAAATAGAACACTAAATAATCAGATGTCTTATGTTAAACACTTTCTCAGGTAGACAGAAGGAGAAAAAACTCTTAAAGGAAGCTCACACAAAAACTAATTCTAAGCAAAATTGTCAGACGGCTATGGTGTTCTAGTTTCAGCTATGTGGATGCTGGTGTAAGAGCCACATACGCTCCAGATTCATCGTAAAGCGTATGATTTGGTTAAAATAAACTTCGTTTTCCACCGCTGTCGTTTACCACGGGTAGATCCGTTCGGTATCGGATGACCCATATGTAGGTCATTGATGCCCGCGACGTGTACCGGAGTATCTGTATTGGTGTGAACCTCGATAGAAGTTCGGTACGTATTTGTAGCACGTTTCCGTTATCTTCACTCTATTTCAGCCCATTAGAAAAAAGCATTTTTTCTTTTGTGAGGTTTCAGTAGACTTCCGATAGTTTTACATTCGACAATTTCAATGGTGTGTTTTATTTATTTCTAAGAGTATTGAGTGGTGAGCAAAAACACGACCACACAGACGGGAGTCGGACCTCAAACTGTATGTTTCATTTTGAACGGGCCTTTCTACTCCTTTGTGACAGAAAAAATATAATTGCAACCCATATTTAAGCACTTTCCCTGAATAAGCTTTCTCTTCTTACAATATAAGCGGAAATCCGGCAACTTGGCGCTTAAAAATTCAAGATTGCACTTACATCAAAATGACACTTTATAGTGAGGTCTAGTGGTCAAAAAATTGGGTTACGCACTCGGCGCGCATTCTTGCTTTGATATGTGGATGGGTATTCACAACATTGCTACCAAGTCACCGCGTTTTGCAACATGATGGCTTACGATATTATGAAATTGGATAATTCTGAAGCTACTGTGCATTACCTTGTTCTATTGCCCTATGGGCTTAGTCTCATTTTCATTCTACATTGTTGAATAAACCGGCTGGTAGTACGCCTAAGTAGCCTTATCCTGAAGGTAAGCAGCCTAAGCCACTACACCAAAGGCATACAAACGTCTAGAAAAGGATCTTAGAGCGTCACAGATTTTGTTTGCGGACAAAAGTTGCACGCCACCTTAAATCACGCTCCGCGATCAATGCGCGCTAAGAGCAAAAACCTAATATTTTTGGCTACTGTAAGGAACTGTAGATTTATCTGAAACATGAAGTACGAAGCTTAAATTATTGAAGTCATCGAGATTCAAGCTAGTGAATAATCACTGAAAGCATTGAAAAAAGCTTCGTGCAGCGCAAAATGACAAGTGTATAATATAATATCCTTTTTAGTCTCACAAAGCATCAAAAGAGCCACCTCAAAACAGAGTCCACTTTTGCATTCAGTTGTTTTTATATGCATTGCTCAAAACAATATGTAAATCAATAATATACTGTGAGCCTATCACGAGGCATGCTATGACACTTGTAGAGTGCTAGACACGTGTTCAGGCATTGCAACCACATCAGTAGCATGATGCCTCTCTCGGTTCTTTCACATTCTTGCAGGAAGATATACCCCCTACATATAAAGGAACATAGCCGAATAATCTGCAAAAACACAGCATGTCAGATGATAAAATAATCAGACATTGCAGTGATCAACAGTCGATCGCTTATGTTTTGTAAAATAAATCATACTTTTAGATTCGACATTTTTATAAACCTCGTTCAAAACGGTATATAATCTGGTAACATATTTTCTGTTATGAGATCTAGTGCGGCTAGACCGAAAGACACCGTGTTACTGATGAAGCAGTAATGCCGAAACACGTGTCCTGTAACAATTTCCAACATCGACTATTTGTTAGTCTCGGCATCTGCAGTGATTCCATATTCTCTTCTTGAGCGAGAGACGATGTGTTGTAACAATCAATATTCAAAAATCTTAAGTTTGGCAGTCTCGCCTTCCTCACAGCTTT